ACCACCACCACCACTACTACACCTACCACCACCACTACTACACCTACCACCACCACCACCACCACTACACCTACCACCACTACACCTACCACCACCAACACTACTACACCTACCACCACTACACCTACCACCAGCACCACCACTACAAGACCTACCAGCACCAGCACCACCACCACCACTACTACACCTACCACCACCACCACCACTACACCTACCACCACCACCACCACTACACCTACCACCACCACCACTACACCTACCACCACCACTACACCTACCACCACCACTACACCTACCACCACCACCACTACACCTACCACCACTACTACACCTACCACTACCACCACCACTACACCTACAACCACCACCACTACACCTACAACCACCACCACTACACCTACCACCACGACACCTACCACCACTACACCCACCACCACGACACCTACCACCACCACCACTACACCTACCACTACTACTACACCTACCACCACCACAACGACACCTACCACCACCACTACATTTACCACCACCACAACTACACCTGCCACCACTACACCTACCACCACCAACACTACTACACCTACCACCACTACACCTACCACCAGCACCACTACTACAAGACCTACCAGCACCACCACCACCACTACTACACCTACCACCACCACCACTACACCTACCACCACCACCACCACTACACCTACCACCACCACTACACCTACCACCACCACCACTACACCTACCACCACCACTACACCTACCACCACTACACCTACCACCACTACTACACCTACCACTACCACCACCACTACACCTACAACCACCACCACTACACCTACAACCACCACCACTACACCTACCACCACGACACCTACCACCACTACACCCACCACCACGACACCTACCACCACCACCACTACACCTACCACTACTACTACACCTACCACCACCACAACGACACCTACCACCACCACTACATTTACCACCACCACAACTACACCTGCCACCACCACCACGACACCTACCACCACCACCACCACCACGACACCTACCACCACGACACCTACCACCACCACCACTACACCTAACACCACCACTACACCTACCACCACCACTACACCTACCACCACTACACCTACCACCACCACCACTACACCTACCACCAGCACCACCACCACTACACCTACCACCACCACTACACCTACCACCACTACACCTACCACCACCACTACACCTACCACCAGAACCACCACCACTACACCTACCACCACCACGACACCTACCACCACCACCACTACTACACCTACCACCACTACTACACCTACCACCACTACACCTACCACCACCACTACTACATCTACCACCACTACTACACCTACCACCACCACCACTACACCTACCACCACTACACCTACCACCACCAACACTACTACACCTACCACCACTACACCTACCACCAGCACCACCACTACTACACCTACCACCACCACTACACCTACCACCACCACTACACCTACCATCAGCACCACCACTACAAGACCTACCAGCACCAGCACCACCACCACCACTACTACACCTACCACCACCACTACACCTACCACCACCACCACCACTACACCTACCACCACCACCACTACTACACCTACCACCACCACCACCACTACACCTACCACCAGCACCACCACTACTACACCTACCACCACCACCACCACTACACCTACCACCACCACCACCAGCACCACTACTACACCTACCACCACCACCACCACTACTACACCTACCACAACCACCACCACTACTACACCTACCACCACCACCACCACTACTACACCTACCACCACCACTACTACACCCACCACCACCACCACTACTACACCTACCACCACTACTACACCTACCACCACTACTACACCTACCACCACTACTACACCTACCACCACTACACCTACCACCACCACTACTACGCCTACCACCACCACCACTACACCTACCACCACCACCAGCACCACTACAACACCTACCACCACCACTACACCTACCACCACCACCACCACTACACCTACCACCACTACACCTACCACCAGCACCAGCACCACCACCACTACACCTACCACCACCACCACCACTACTACACCTACCACCACCACCACTACTACACCTACCACCACCACCACCACCACCACTACACCTACCACCACTACACCTACCACCACCAACACTACTACACCTACCACCACTACACCTACCACCAGCACCACCACTACAAGACCTACCAGCACCAGCACCACCACTACTACACCTACCACCACCACCACCACTACACCTACCACCACCACCACCACTACACCTACCACCACCACCACCACTACACCTACCACCACCACCACTACACCTACCACCACCACTACACCTACCACCACCACTACACCTACCACCACCACCACTACACCTACCACCACTACTACACCTACCACTACCACCACCACTACACCTACAACCACCACCACTACACCTACAACCACCACCACTACACCTACCACCACGACACCTACCACCACTACACCCACCACCACGACACCTACCACCACCACCACTACACCTACCACTACTACTACTACACCTACCACCACCACAACGACACCTACCACCACCACTACATTTACCACCACCACAACTACACCTGCCACCACCACCACGACACCTACCACCACCACCACCACGACACCTACCACCACGACACCTACTACCACCACCACCACCACTACACCTACCACCACCACTACACCTACCACCAACACTACACCTACCACCACTACACCTACCACCACCACCACTACACCTACCACCAGCACCACCACCACTACACCTACCACCACCACTACACCTACCACCACTACACCTACCACCACCACTACACCTACCACCAGAACCACCACCACTACACCTACCACCACCACGACACCTACCACCACCACCACTACTACACCTACCACCACTACTACACCTACCACCACTACACCTACCACCACCACTACTACACCTACCACCACTACTACACCTACCACCACCACCACCACTACACCTACCACCACTACACCTACCACCAACACTACTACACCTACCACCACTACACCTACCACCAGCACCACCACTACTACACCTACCACCACCACTACACCTACCACCACCACTACACCTACCATCAGCACCACCACTACAAGACCTACCAGCACCAGCACCACCACCACCACTACTACACCTACCACCACCACTACACCTACCACCACCACCACCACTACACCTACCACCACCACCACTACTACACCTACCACCACCACCACCACTACACCTACCACCAGCACCACCACTACTACACCTACCACCACCACCACCACTACACCTACCACCACCACCAGCACCACTACTACACCTACCACCACCACTACTACACCTACCACAACCACCACCACTACTACACCTACCACCACCACCACCACTACTACACCTACCACCACCACTACTACACCCACCACCACCACCACTACTACACCTACCACCACTACTACACCTACCACCACTACTACACCTACCACCACTACTACACCTACCACCACTACACCTACCACCACCACTACTACGCCTACCACCACCACTACTACACCTACCACCACTACTACACCTACCACCACTACTACACCTACCACCACTACACCTACCACCACTACTACACCTACCACCACCACTACTACACCTGCCAACACCACCACCACTACTACATCTACCACCACCACCACTACAACTACATCACCACCACCACTACTACACCTACCACCACCACTACACCTACCACCACTACACCTACCACCACCACTACTACACCTACCACCAGCACCACCACTACTAGACCTACCAGCACCAGCACCACCACCACTACACCTACCACCACCACCACTACACCTACCACCACTACTACACCTACCACCACCACCACTACTACCACCACCACTACTACACCTACCACCACCACCACCACTACACCTACCACCACCACCATCACTACACCTACCACCAGCACCACCACTACTACACCTACCACCACCACCACTACACCTACCACCACCACCAGCACCACTACTACACCTACCACCACCACCACCACTACTACACCTACCACAACCACCACCACTACTACACCTACCACCACCACCACCACTACTACACCTACCACCACCACCACCACTACACCTACCACCACCACCAGCACCACTACTACACCTACCACCACCACCACCACTACACCTACCACCAGCACCACTACTACACCTACCAGCACCACCACCACTACACCTACCACCACTACTACACCCACCAGCACCACCACTACTACACCTACCACCAGCACCACCACCACTACACCTACCACCACCACCACTACTACACCCACCATCACCACCACCGCTACACCTACCACCACCACCACTACTACACCCACCACCACCACCACTACTACACCTACCACCACCACCACTACTACACCCACCACCACCACCACCACTACACCTACCACCACCACTACTACACCCACCACTACTACACCCACCACTACTACACCTACCACCACTACCACTACTACCACCACTACTACACCTACCACCACCACTACAACTACACCACCACCACCACTACTACACCTACCACCACCACCACCACCACTACTACTCCTACCACCACCACTAATACACCTACCACCACCACTACTACACCTACCACCACCACTACTACACCTACCACCACTACACGTGCCACCACCACCACTACACCTACCACCACCACTACACCTACCACCACTACTACCACTACCACCACCACTACTACTACACCTACCACTACCACCACCACCACTACTACACCTACCACTACACCTACCACCACCACTACTACACCTACCACCACCACCACCACTACTACACCTACCACCACCACCACCACTACACGTGCCACACCTGCACGGGCGATGGAGGCTGCTGTGCGCTCCACGTGAGCGTGGCTCCGGCTCCCAGCATCACGAGGACGGCGCTGCCCAGGAGCTCGGCGAGCAGCGACCTCCAGAATCGCTGCGTCCAGAGTCCCCTGCAGGCGACCATCGCCACCCTGACCCCCGTGACCCCTCCTGCTGATGATGATGCTGATAGTGGTGGTAGTGGTGATGATGATGGTGGTGGTGGTGGTGATGATGGTGGTGGTGGTGATGCTGATAGTGGTGGTGGTGATGATGATGGTGATGATGGTGGTGGTGGTGATGCTGATAGTGGTGGTGGTGATGATGATGGTGATGATGATGGTGATGCTGATGATGGTGATGATGGTGGTGGTGGTGGCTCTGCTGCTGATCCGCACAGAGAAGCAGCGGCAGCCGCAGCAGTCGCGAGGCAGCGGTAGAAGCAGCTGTTGATGTTGTTGTTGATGTTGTTGTTGATATTGTTGTTGTTGATGTTGTTGATGTTGATGTTGTTGTTGATGTTGTTGGAGGGCGAGGGGAGGGGTTTGGGGGGGGGGTGAGCAGAGGTGGAGTCACTCAGTCACTGACTCAGTCACTCAGTCAGTCAGTCACTCACTCACTCAGTCACTCACTCAGTCACTCATTCACTCACTCAGTCACTCACTCAGTCACTCATTCACTCACTCAGTCACTCACTCATTCAGTCACTCAGTCACTCAGTCACTCACTGAGTCACACACTCAGTCACTCACTGACTCAGTCACTCACTGACTCAGTCACTCACTCAGTCACTCACTGACCCACTCACTCACCCAGTCACCCACTCACTTACCCACTCACTCACTCAATCGCTCAACCACTCGTTCACCCACACACTCACACACTCACCGACACACCCACAAACTCACCCACTCACTCACCCACTCACTCACTTACTCACTCACCCACACACTCAGTCACCCACCCACACACTCACTCACCCACCCACACACACACTCACCCACCCACACAGTCACCCACCCACTCAATCACTCACTCACCGACCCACTCCGTCACTCACTCACTCAGTCACTCACTCACTCACCCACTCACACACCCACTCACACAGCCACTCACTCACTCACCCACTCACTCACCCACTCAATCAGTCACTCACTCACTCAGCCACTCACTCAGTCATTCACTCACTCAGCCACTCACTCACCCACTCACACACCCACTCACTCACCCACTCACTCAGTCACTCACTCAGCGACTCACTCAGTCATTCACTCACTCAGCCACTCACTCACCCACTCACTCACACACTCACTCACTCACCCACTCAGTCACTCACTCAGTCATTCACTCACTCATCCACTCACTCACTCACCCACTCACACACCCACTCACTCACCCACTCACTCACCCACTCAGTCACTCACTCACTCAGTCATTCACTCACTCAGCCACTCACTCACCCACTCACCCACTCACTCACCCACTCAGTCACTCACTCAATCATTCACTCACTCAGCCACTCACTCACTCACCCACTCACCTAGCCAGGCAGCTCGAGTGTGGCTGGTGAGTGGCTGATGCTGATGATGCTGATGATGTGGAGAGAGACGAAGTCTCAGGAATAGCTCTGCCTGCCACGCCACTCATAACCACTCCACGTCGCCCTCACTCGGCTACCCGAGCTGCAAGCCAATCCCGCTCGTGTGTTTATACACGGAGATATATATACACACACCTACACACAGACATATATACACACCTATACACACACATACACACACCTACACACACACACACACCTACACACACCTACACACACACCTACACACACCTACACACACACACCTACACACAGACATATATACACACACCTACACACACATATACACACACACACCTACACACACATATACACACACACACCTACACACACCTACACACAGACACACACCTACACACACCTACACACACCTACACACACACCTACACACATACACACACACATACACCTACACACAGACATATACACACACACCTACACACATATACACAACAACAACAAACGCCATTCGCCACTAAGTGGCGGTGATGTCACCACGACGCTTGTGCCAGGCTATGTGCACCCTGAGGCCACGTCACTATGTAGTCCAGCAGATGTTCTTGCTTGGACCCGGCATGCATCCATGATGTGTGGATGCGCCGATGCCGGAACAGCGTGTTGGTAATTACAAGCCCATGGGCTGCACAAAAATCTAGCAGCCTCCTACCGTTGTTATTGAGCTGATCTGGCCCATGCCCTCCAATCACTCCAGACCAGGTGCCAGCATCATGACCAACTTGGGCATTGAAGTCACCCAACATGATGTCTCTATCCCAAGGTGCCACTTTAGACAGCACCTGTGACAGGAGGTCATAGAAGGCATCTTACTCATCGGCTTTGCCTGCATCCCTCCACGGATGTTCGTCTTCGGTGGGAGCATAAGTAACCACGACCACCACTCCTCGCCTCCGGTTGATGGGAAGGCGAGCCCAAAGTAGCCTGGGGCTTACAACTTCCCACACCTCACCGCCACGCTCCCACGCCCCCTTCATTCTAATGTTCAAAAGAAGAGCCACACCCTGTTGTTTGGCAGTCTGCTGCCTCAAGTAGAGGACTGTCCACCCCTCATGGTGGCAGGAGCCAGAACCGGTCCACCGGACCTCCTGAATGCCACAGAGATCCAGGTGGTACCGGTCCAGCTCCCGACAGGAGTGGCAGCCTCTCCTCCGCAGTGAGCATTCGAACATTCCACGTGGCCATCCGTAGTGGCTTTTCGTTGTTTCTGGAGGAGCCCCGAGGGTAGATATTCAATCTCCTGGCTCGGCCAATTGGGGTTTGGCCAGGAGACGTCATAGACGCCTGGCCCCCCGGGGCCTCCGGCACAAGCTTATTAGTTACACATTTCAGTTTAACTCGTGGTTTAGTGGTAATGAATTGAAGGTGGAGGGGTTACCAGCCCCTCGCACTCGTCCAATCAAAATTGGACCTCCCCCCACAGCACTGTCCACGACAGAGTTGCCACACATACACCTACACAACAACAACAACCGCTATTCGCCACTAAGTGGCGGTGACGTCACCACGACGCTTGTGCCAGGCCATGTGCACCTTGGGGCCACGTGAAGTGTCGAACGCCTGCTGGCAGGAGGTCACGGGGCAGACCCAGGTGCCACGGGTCGACTGACTGAGATGACTGGCTGATGCACCACCTGTGCCCCCTACTGTGCCAACCTGCTGTGCTTTAGCCACCCGGCACTCCGCTCGTTGTGAGCGTCGCTCCTCCGCCCTCCGTTGTTGTTAGAGGGCGACTGCCTCCAACTGCCCAGTAGCGTCCTTCACGAGCCTCCTCCACAGAGGCCGATCTTGACACCGCTGGTACCAGTCATCGGCAAGTCCACTCAGCTCCACGTCCTCCTGTACCACATCACTCCATTTCTTCTCTAGCCCGTGCCGCGCCCGTTTAGCCCCCTCGATCCGGCCGAACAAAAGTTGTTTTGGCATGCGGTGGCTGGGCATGCGGGCTACATGACCCAGCCAACGCAGCCTTGCCTGCCGGAGGAGCTCACCGATGGGACCTTGCCCAGATCTTTCAAGGATTTGTGAGCTCACACAATCCAGCCTGGTTAAACCCAGGATGGATCGTAGGCAGGCCAGCCTGAATGTTTCCAACCGGCGAAGATGCTCCATTAAGGGGGTCCACGTTTCGCAAGCGTACAGAAGGGAGGGAATGACCGTGGCCGAGAAGACCTGAAGCTTAGTGCGGAGCGACAGACCAGATTGCTTCCATACAGCGTTATGCAACCGATGAAAAGATATTGCCGCTCGACTGATTCGGAGTGAGACCTCTGCTGTTAAACTGGAGCCAGTCATAAGCACACTGCCCAGTTATGGGAAACTCTCCACTCTATCCACAACTGCCCCATCACCGATTGGGAGTTGTGGGGGTGGAGTGTCCGATGGTACAAAATACCCAGGCAGATGCTTAGTTTTGGTGGGGCTGATGGTAAGGCCCCATCTCTTAGTGGCACGCTCCAGTCTCAGCAGCAACGTCTCCAACTCCTCCTCTGAATGAGCAGCTATTACCAAATCATCGGCATACATAACGTGGTTGAGCAATAGGGAGCCATCCCTTGACCACACCCGGGCATCGATCAGCCTCCCATTATATCTGTACCATATGGAGATTCCCCCGGTACAGCTATTGAAGGCTTCCCGAACTACGTGGTCAAAATAGATGTTAAATAATGTGGGAGCCAGAGGACATTTTTGTCGCACACCAAGGTGTACAGGGAATGGCTCTGACTCCCGACAACATAGTTTTACCCGGGCCCGCTCACCATCATGAAGGTCCTTAATGATCGTGAGCAGGGGGTCAGGGACTCCAAAAGCACGAAGAACAACCCAGAGCCCAGGCCTACTGAAGGTATCATAGGCCTTGACCAGGTCATTAAAGCAGAGATGTAGATCTTGCTGGAATTCCCTACACCTCTGCTGTAGCAGACGGACAGAAAATACGCCTACACACAGATACACACACATACACACAACAACAACCGCCATTCGCCACTAAGTGGCGGTGACGTCACCACGACGCCAGTGCCAGGACATGTGCACCTTGAGGCCACGTGGAGTGTCGAACGCCCGCTGGCAGGAGGTCACGGGGCAGACCCAGGTGCCATGGGTCGACTGACTGAGATGACTGGCTGATGCACCACCTGTGCCCCCTACTGTGCCAACCTGCTGTGCTTTAGCCACCCGGCGCTCCGCTCGTTGTTGTGAGCGTCGCTCCTCCGCCCTCCGTTGTTGTTGGAGGGCGGCTACCTCCAACTGCCCAGTAGCGTCCTTCACGATCCTCCACGTATACACACACACACACCCACACACACCTACACACAGATACACACACCTACACACAGATGCACACACACACCTACACACAGATACACACCTACACACACACCTACACACACACACCTGCACACACACACACACCTACACACACACACCTACACACACAGACACACAGACACCTACACACACACCTACACAATACACACACACCTACACACACAGATACACACACCTACACACAGACACACACACACACCTACACACAAACACACACACACACCT